GAGCTGAGGAACAATTCCTTGCCCAGAGGGTGCTCAGGCATTGGAACAGGCTGCCCAGGGCAGGGCTGGAGTCACTGTCCCTGCAAGTGTTCACAGCCCGGGTAGCCGAGGCCTCAGTGCCGGGGTGAGTGGTGGCCTTGGCAGGGCTGGGAATGGTTGGACTGGATGAGCTTAAAGGGCTTTTCCAGCCTGGTTGTTTCTGTGGTTCCAAGGTAATGTGTGTTGCACCTCATGCAGGGCTCTGCTGGCCATCCATGCTCCTCTGTCAGAGGACCAGGATGCAAACCGTGCCCAGATGCCCCTTGTCCCAGCCTGTATGGTCTCCATCCTCCCCCTGGGTTGCAGACTCCTCTTCCCAACCGTTCCTGTGCCTCCCTGCCACAGCTAGAAAACACCCCAGAGTTTAGAGACAATACCTGATGATCCATTTCTCCCTGGCAAGCAAGCACACAGGGGTAGTTTTGCCAGCCCATAAGCAAGAGTAGATGGGCGATGCTGAAGAAAGAAGGGAAGAAAAAACCCAACTCATAGAACCCGCTAGGTTGGAAAAGACTTTTAAACATCATCAGTGCATTACATCTTTTAGTGATATCTGGGTTTCAGAGAGAACACAGTTGTTTCTCCAGATCCCATCCTGACGACCTGAAGTAGCCCAGTCCAATGGACCTAATCCCCATCCTTCCCCATAGGCAAGGAGGTACCAGGGATACCAATGTGAATGGTCCATCTCGTCCTGGTGGCTGCTCCCAAGGCTTCCTAAGCCCACCAACGACTTCTTGCATGCAGCAAGGCCTCAGGGAAGTTTCAAAGACTCACCAGATGTGGTTTTCCCTAAGGAAACACCAGCAACCGGGTCTCCCTGGGTAGCACATTCATGGATTAGCTTGCTGCCACCTAAACGAAGAGCCTTCTTGTCCCAAAGCCAGGTTTCCACCAGGTACCCAAGACCCTGTCCCTGCCTTCTCCACCCTTAGGGATGCTGAGGTCCCTCCAGGCATGTTGGATGCTGCTGGCATCTGCCGAAGAGGAAGGAAAAGGCAGGATGCTGAGTTTTCCCCCCTTGCCAGCTGATTTGTCCTTTAGGAGATTATTCCCCCTCCCTGGCTTACAGGGGGATTTGCAGCCACTCCATCTGCTCGAGCCCAGCAGGTCATCGGGTGCTGGGGAGGAGTGGCTGGGCCCCAGATGTTGTCTTTGGTCCAGGGCATCCTGGGTTGGGCATTTCCGGACCTCCCCTTCCACCCAGGGTGGTCCCAAAGAGACTTAAACAGGGGCAGGGGTTTGGAACTGGAGGAGCTTTAAGGTTCTTTCCAACCCAAACCAGTCTGGGATTCTATGATTGCCATTGGCAAAGCAGGCAGGGAGACAGGGAAGGAAAGCATCTCAATGTGGGTTTTCCCAGGAGGACCACAACGTGCCTGCCAGGCTTTTATGGGTAAACAGGGGGAGTCTGTTGACTCACAAGTGCTTTTAGAGCTGGGTTTTCCAAAGGGGAAAACCGGGAGATGATAGGGGCGATGCGGGTCTCTCTCCCTTCTCTGTTGCTCCTGTCTTGTCAGCAGCTGAAGGTGGAGAGGCTGGAGGTAAGTTAGGGTGTCAAGTTGGATTAGGGAGGGTGGGTTTATAGGGACTGACTGAACTAGGTTTGTGGAAGCAGCAAGGGGGGTGATGCTGGGGGTCCAGGCTTTGTGGACCACAGGATATGGGAGCCTTTGGTTGTGCCCACATCCTGACCAAGAGCAGGTCTGATGTGCCACTAGACCCAGGACCTTGCTCCCCCCTTGCTGCTGCCTTTTCAGCAGACACAGGGACATGTGGGACCCTGCCAGACCCCACAGGGATGTTCCCAGGAATAATAAATAGGGGAGCTCCGGGCAGCACAAGGGGGATGCTGAGACAGCGACGCTGTCCCCATCCCACTCACCCACTGCCCAGAGTGGGACCCACTGCCCTCCATTCCCCATCCCTTGCCAGGAATACCGATGGATGGTGCACCAGGTGTCAGCTTGGGAATCTCTTATCTTTACCTTATCTCCCCAAATGGACAATGTCTCTGCTCATTAGGTACCTGCCCAGGGGGCAGACGTCAGCTCTGCTCATGGCTTCTCTCAGCTCATCTCTTGACGGGCGCTCAGCTCCCATCATATCATGCTCCTGCCCACGGGGCTGCCCGCTCTGCCTGCCCCATGGCTGTGCCCATCTACAGCCCCCCCAGCCCCGGGTTCACCCCGCTCTTGAGGAATGGGGGTTTGAAGGGTGTTTTGTTGAAGGCTGGAAAATAACAGGCACTGCTGGCACACGCGTGTGTGCAGAGCTGGAATTGGTTTTCCTTGCCCAGGCAGTGCCTGGGAGGAGAAGCCATCTCTGAAGTCTGCCCTTTGAGGCTGATGCGTCCTGACAGCTTGTTCACTAGGACATTAAAATCATTGCCTCTGTCTGCATAAAACACCCAGCAATGCGGATGATGGGAACACGGGTCAGGGAAGGATCCTTCTCTCTCCTGCACCATGAGCGGCAGCACTGAAAACCCCAAAGCAGCAGACCAGCAGCCTGACTGGATGGGAGCAGGGTCCCCTCCAGTGTAAATGGGGCTAGAGGTAAAATACAGATGGAACCATCTTGCTGAGTTTCCCATCTCAAAGGTGTACTGCAGCTCAGGGATGCGGTGATGCAGTGGGTAAACATCCCCATCCCCATCTCCATCCCGTCTGGTGTATCCCTCACCAGCTGTACAGTGAGTTTTCCCAAAGACCTTGTGTTTTCCCTGTGGCAAAGCAAGAGGACATTGATTCACAGAGTCATGGAACCACAGAGTGATTTGTGTTGGAAGGGACCTTAAAAGGTGTACTGCAGCTCAGGGATGCGGTGATGCAGTGGGTAAACATCCCCATCCCCATCTCCATCCCGTCTGGTGTATCCCTCACCAGCTGTACAGTGAGTTTTCCCAAAGACCTTGTGTTTTCCCTGTGGCAAAGCAAGAGGACATTGATTCACAGAGTCATGGAACCACAGAGTGATTTGTGTTGGAAGGGACCTTAAAGCTCA